GGTGGCTCGTGCCAGTTGGCAATGGGGCAGGAGACCAGCCCCACTGTCTGCAGGGCACAGCAGCTGGGGCTCTGCTCCCATCCCAGGCCCCGGCCCTGGGCAACCTCTGAGTGAGCAGTGAGCGTCCATCTCTGGGTGTGCAGCTGCCGCGTCCTTTCCCACCCCGAGGCCGGGGTCCTGGGGGCCCCCCCACGGTGTCTCGCCAGCCCTGCCCTGACCCTTGGCACCCGCCCTCAACCCCACTCACCTGCTCCTGGTTGGAGCAGCCTTCTCAGGATCCTGGGTGAACCTCCCCAGAACGGGCGGCTCTGCTGGGCAGCCACAGCGCGGAGGCGGGCAGCCTGCGGCGCCCCCTGCAGGCGCTCGTGAGGTAGAGCCCGGGCCCAGCGAGGGCGAAGAGCGGGATTCGAGCCACAGCACCGGAAACAAAACAAAGTGACAAGGAGCCCAGGGATATCAGAGGCTCCCGGGGTCCCCATGGGTTGACCCTGAGGAAACTCCAACCCGCGGGGGCCGCGGGCTTCTGGGGGTGTCAGGGCTGGCACAGGCCACTCAACTCTCCCCTTGCAGCCTGCTGCCCTCTCCCAGAGCCCAGGACAGACAGGACATGCGCGGTCACTGTGAGAGTCCTTTACTGCTTCCTGGTGACAGACCCTGTGCCTGACCAGGGTGAGAGGGGAGACGGGAGGCCGGGCCGGCCCGGGCAGGACCCGGCGAGCTCAGGTCCCCCCCAGATTATACTTTGGCTGGCAGGAGAGGCTAGCCGGTACCCCACCTGTCACTGTCCCCTCGGGAACCTGCTGGGAGCAAGGCAGCAAAGCCTCAAGAACCTTCCTGAAGGCCCGCCGCCCCGTCTAGATCCGTACCCGGGGAACTTCCTTGGTGAGGAAGAGCCTTTGTGTGGATGAAGTTGCCCCAGGAAGCGGGAGGTGGCGGATTCCTGGCACCCTCTCCTCCAGGCTGGACCCTCGCTCCTTGTCTGGCGCCCCAGCCCCGGCCTCCCCTGAGCCTCCGTGGCGCCCCTGGTGGCGGCTGGGACGTAAAGGGAGGGGTGGGGCCCTTTTGGGCCAGAAGCCGACCTGAAAGCAGCACCGACATCCCCAGGCCCAGCAGGGAGGCCTGGCCTCCGTGTCCATCACCGCTTGCCCGTCATTCAGTGTCCATCGTCGCCGCCGCTCTGCGGAGGGAGGGCAGCGGCAGGAGGCGTGGTGGTGGAGGTGGCAGGTACCCGAGGGTTCTGGGGGTGTCCGAGGTGCTAGGACCCCGAGGCAGCAGAGCACCGGCCCCCTGCCCACGCCGTACCAGGGTCTGTCACCGGCGTTTGGTGTGGAGGCTCCAGAGACTAAGCCGTGTTCTCTGAGCTGTGCCATCTGGTGGTCTGGGCTGTTCCTCGTGGCCCTGGGTGGGGGGCTACCCCGGGAGCCGCCCAGCTCAGTGCTCCGGAGAGGATCCGAAGGGCTGCGTCCACAGGGAGAGGTCCAGGAAGATGGTGGAGGCTCCGTGGTAGAGCCAGAGGCGGGGCAGGGCGCCGTGGCGGGCCCAGGCGTCCCGCACAGTGTCGTAGGCCTCCATCTCCACATGGTAGTCGCCGTCCATGCCCTGCCAGCGGCCGCCCGTCACGTACAGCGTGTCGCCCAGCGGCACCAGCGCCCCGTTCTCATGCAGGCTGTGCTGGGACTGCACCTGCCGAGGCTCAGAGTCAGGGTCTGCGCAGGGCCGGGACACAAGGAGGGGGTCTGGGAAGGGGCAGGGGTGCGGGGAGAGGGGTCCGGGCAGGGGTGCCCTTTCCCAGAGCGCCCACTGGGACCTCCCAGGCTGACGTTTCCACCCCGTAGAGTCAGAGGGGCCCTGGCAGGTGGGGGAACAGATGCCTGAGCCAGTGCTGCCTCCATCCAGTCTCCAGCGAGGCCTGGGAAGATCTGGACAGCTTCCTCAGAGGGGACATGGGGACAAGATGTGGCCCCGCCCCCGCAGACACCGGGGAGGGCTGAGCCCCCGCATGACCCCTGATTGACCCCTGGGTCCCATCCCCCTGCTGGCCAGCCTCCGCCCGCCCGGTGAGTGGTTGAGCCCAGGGTCTGCAGAGGCTGCGCGGCAACAGAGGCTCCGTGAGGGAGCCTGGGGTTGTGGGGAAGGCTCTGTGTAGCCTCCACATGAAGAAAGTGGCCAGGACCACCCCCTCCCCAAGCTCAAGGAGGGCCAAGGGTGGCCCTGCACGGCAGGGACCCCAGCCCGGCCTGGGGCCTGGGCCTGGTTGAAGCCAGCTGCAATCCAGGTGGGAAGCTGAGCAGAGCACCTGGCTGGGCCATGCTGTACCTACCCCTCTCCTCCCCCACCACCTCGGGGCACAGGATCAGGGGCCTCAGGTCAGCGGAGCCAGGGGCAGCTGTGGGCAGCTGTGGGCAGCTGTGGGCAGCAGGACACTGAGGCCTTGTTGCCACCAGGCAAGCTGGCTCAGGGCCTGGGGAGGCTGCAGGCAGGGGCTCAGCATGCAGCTGGGGACGAAGGCACACACACAGGAGGACAAAGGCCAGGCTGTGCCCCGGGCTGGCCTCTGCAGTGGCCACAGGCCACCCTATGGCCTGAGCCAGGGGTGGAAGAAGAGGGGCTGAGGGCTGGCATGGACGGGGAGGGCTGAGAGTGGAGGCTGGCAGGCCCCCCACACTCACAGCTCAGGGCCCTCCCCAGCCGGACCTCCCCAGGACCCACAGCTCCGCTGCTCACAGGAAGGAGCTGCCGAGCCTGGATTTGATCTCCAAAAAGGAAGAAGCCCCCCACTCTGGGAAAATAGGCAGGCAGGGGATGGGACACAAGTGGCGACCAGCTCCTCTCTATCCCGTCTCCTGGGGACGGCCGGAGGATGCTGGGGAGCCCGGAGAGAGACCCAAGGCCTGCGGCTTTCTCCCCAGCCCCGTGGGAAATCCCCCCACCATGGCCTCCAGGCTGATTTCTGCCATGAAGGAGTCCCGGGGGGCAGCGGGAGGTGGGTACCCACCTTTTGCCACAGGTTGGCCCCAGGGTCGTAGACATAAACCTTCTTCGTGTTGTCCCCGATGAGGTAGAGCGCCCCGTTCAGCGCGGCACAGCGGGGGGAGGACAGGTACTTGGGCAGGAAGGGCGAGGCGATCACGCCCCACGCATCTGTGGGCACAGGTGCTTCAGCAGGGGGCCGTGGGTCCGGGGCAGTCAGAGCGGCTGGGCTGCTCACGTCAAGCCCGGTGCACTGCCCCGGGCGGGAAGTCCCTCCACACCTGTCTCTCAGGAAGACCTGGCAGCGGGAGTGCCCGAGAATCTCATCCTCAGAAAGGACTTGGGCCTGGAAACTCCACGAGCCAACCCAGCCCGACACACTCCTGGCGCCTTGACCTATGCTGCCCCGGGGCTCTGCCTCAGCCCCCCCCAACCTCTTCTCCTGCAGGTCTGCGATCCTGCCAGCTCCTGGTCCAGGTCACTCTGGGTGGAGCTTGCCACAAACACCACTCACTGGTCCTCACTGTCCTTCCTTTTGCTCACTTTCCTCTCTGTGTTCTCTGTGTTTTCTTTTCTTTCTTTTTCTTCCTTTCCTCTCTGTGTTTTCTTTGTTTTTTTTTTCTTCCTTTTGTTTCTTTGTTTTCTGTGTTTTCTGTGTGTTTCTTTTGTTTTCTTTGTTCTTTGTTTCTCTTTGTTGTCTTTGTTTTCCTTGTTTTTCTTTGTTTTTTTCTTTTTCTTCCTTGTCCTCACTGTCCTCACTGTCCTTCCTTTTCCTCACTGTCCTCCCTGTCCTCCCTGTCCTCACTGTCCTTCCTTTTCCTCACTGTCCTTCCTTTTCTTCCTTTTCTTCCTTTTCTTTCTTTTTCTTCCTTTTCTTCCTTGTCCTTCGTTTTCTTCCTTGTCTTCCTTTTCTTCCTTGTCCTTCCTTTTCTTCGTTGTCCTCACTGTCCTCACTGTCCTCACTGTCCTCACTGCCCCTCACTGTCCTCACTGTCCTCACTGTCCCTCACTGTCCTCACTGCCCCTCACTGCCCCTCACTGTCCTCACTGTCCCTCACTGTCCTCACTGTCCTCACTGTCCTCACTGTCCTCACTGCCCCTCACTGTCATCACTGCCCCTCACTGTCCTCACTGTCCTCACTGTCCCTCACTGCCCCTCACTGTCCTCACTGCCCCTCACTGTCCTCACTGCCCCTCACTGTCCTCACTGCCCCTCACTGTCCTCACTGTCCTCACTGTCCTCACTGCCCCTCACTGTCCCTCACTGGGAGCTGATTCCCTGGATTTCCAGGCCCTGGCCTCTCCCTGCGCGTCTCCCCTCTCCCGCGGATGAGGCCCTTGTAAGAGGTGAGAGGCCGCCCGCTTCCTATCTCAGCCCTGCTGCCCCTCTCTCTTTTCTGAAATAGTACCGGGTCTTGAACTCAGGTCCTAGTTCTTGTCCCTGAGCTGAGTGGGCACTGACTCCACTTCTTGTGTCACAGCTCCAATTCCAGTTTTTTTGGTGGTTAATTGGAGAAAAAAGCCTCATGGACTCCTTCTAGGGCTAGCTTTTAACCTCAATCTCAGATCTCAGTCTCCTGAGTAGCTCGGATTCCAGGTGTGAGCCCGTGGGACTGTAGCCTTTCCGTGGGGGCCTGTGGGCCTGACCCTCCTGGCACAGGCCTTGGGGCGAGGGTGTCTCCGAGTCTGCCCACCTGTCACGGGGTTGTAGCACTGCAGGGCCAGAGCGTTGTACTTGCAGGCGCTGGAGCCCACCAGGTAGAGCCGGCCCTGGCAGCTGGCGGCCGAGAAGTTGCTGACGTACTTGATGGCGGGGCTGACGGGCGTCCAGCTGTCCGTGTAGGGGTCATAGCTCTCCACCTCCACCACATCCAGCGTGGTGCCTGTGGGGCGGGGTTCCCGGTCGGATCAGGGTAGCAGGGCTAAGGCAGAGGACGGGGGCCGGCAAACTCGGGTCTAGGGCTTTCTAGGGTGCTGAGGACAACCCAGGGTGCCCCGCTGGGGGAAGGCAAGCGAAGGGTGGCGTGGCTCCAAGGCCGCGAGCACATCCGCGCAGGGGAGCTGGGGCTCTGGGAGGCCCGTGCCAAGAAGCGGAGGGAGTGGGCCCGTGCAACCAGGAGGGTCTGCAGGGAGCCCCGTCCTAAGCATGGGGACCCTCTTCTGTGGAAGGCCATTTGGATGTTTATTGTGTTTATGGGCCATACAAAATTGCCGGTACAGGCAATAGCCCCTGAGAAGTGTGCGTGTCTGCCTGTCATGTGCCAGGTGATTTTGCAGGCCTTATGTGGTCTGCGGACAGGACGGCTCCTGAGCTGTAGGCAGCCCAGGTCTCAGGGGTGTCAGGAGGTGGCTGGAGCAGGAAAGCACGTTTGCTCCCCTGTGGGTCTGACGTCAGCCTTTGTGAGGCCCTGGGGGCCCGGCGTGCTGGGGCTTTGGGACTGTGTGTGCCATCTGATCTGTGGCCAAGAACCCAGCTGCCACCCAGGGCAAAGGGTCAGCCAGGACAGACGGCGCACTCGGTGGGGCTCAGAGCTGGGCTGAACCCGGGGGACTTTGGGGACCTCTACACTTCTCAATAGTTCCTTGCTGCAGTGCCCTGGGTTAGGCCTGACAGATGACAACAACAGAAAGGCCCCCGGGGACTTCCCACCCCAGGGCCCACCCGGTGGCTTTGGGCTAGCGCCAAGCCTGTCTGGAATGGTCTGGTCCTCCTTCCCAGGGACTTGAAGCCTCCGTCGGCACAACCTGTCCCGCTCGTTCTGTCCCAAGACCTCGGGAGCACAGAGCCAGCTACCTCGCCTGCCCTCCCCGTGGATTCCAAGAGCCCACGGAGGGGGGCTAGTGTGGGGCTCACTGGTCCCCCAGGGCGCCCTGGGGGGTGAAGGGAGAGGCTCATGCCGCAGGAAGGAGACGCCCCTAGAGCCGAGTGGCGGGGAGCGAGGCCTCACCTCCGATGGCGTAGATCTCGCCGTTGAGCGCGGCGCTGGCGTGGTTGGTGCGGGCCTTCAGCATGGGTGCCACGGGCTTCCACGCTGCCTCCTTCAGGGGGAAGCACCAGGCCTGGGTGGTCGACCAGGTGTCAGTCTTGGTGCCCCGGGAGCCGCCTGCCAGGAGAGGTTTTGGAGTTTCTGTGGGCCTGCGGAGGCTGAGCCCCGAAGCCCCTCCGTCCGCCCTCCATGCCAGGCTGTGATTGCAAAGGTGTTGAACATGCCAGTCCATGGGCCCGGGGTAAGACTGTGGGTGGCATCTACTATGGGACCGGCCCCCCCGGCCCCCCAAAGAGACAAGTGTTGTTACCTCATCAGGAGAAACTTCCTCCCTCAACCAAATCTTATAGGGCCTTTAACTCCTCAATACTGAGAAGCAGAGAGAGGCCCCATACTCAGTGCTTCCTGGGAGGCCTGGCTTTGGGGCCCTGTAGAGCCGGCCGGGGCCTTCAAACCATGAGCACCCACCAGTACACGCTGGATTTACACCTCCCGGCCTTCGTGGGGGAAGCCCTGGGGTCTTGGCTCCCTCAGGGGTCCCGCTGAGTGGGCAGTGCTGGGTCCGGGGCCCTCGCTGGGCCAGGCGCTGGCCAGGCATCCTGGAAGCTGACCCCGGCTGCCCACCTGTGACGTAGACGTCGTTGTTGAGCGCCGCCAGCGAGAAGCCCCACTTGTGGTAGTCGGGGAAGTCCGGGAGAGCCATCCACCTCCCTGGAGGACGGGACGGGCGAGGGTCAGTGCTCTGCCTCACGCCGGCTGCAGAAGTGACCCACTCACCAGTGGGGAAGGGCATGGAGGGGTCCACTGGCCACCAAGGTGAGGGCATCACCTGGGAGACGTGCCAGAGCCAGCCCTGCAGCTCATCTTACCCCTCAGTGCCCGGATGAAGACTGGGCACAGGATGGCACCCAGGCTGTAGGCTCACCCTGGCCTGGGGTGGACCGTTCAGCCTGGGTCTAAGTCCCTCAGCCAGGAGGGGTGTGGCTATCACTGTGGTATGACGCCCGTGTCCCTCATCCCTGGTTCATTCGTCCATCCTGGGTCCCTGCTCTGCGCATGAGGCCGTGAAGGAACCAACCAACCCCCAGCCGCCATGCCTCCACAGACCCAGCCTCAGTCTCCCCCCCCCGCCATGGAGTGGGGGTAACCGCGGCCGCCCCGGAAGGTGTGCTAGTGGCTAGAACAGAGTGATGGACCAAGGTGGAGCTGCCTTCCTGCTGCTTCCCAGGGTGAACTGAAGCAGGGATAAGGGAACACTCGGGAAGATAGCAACGTGAGCCTGCAACCAGGGGAGGCGCTGCGGAAGTCCCCGGGGCGCTCTGTTGTTTTTGACATGTGGGATTCCAGGCTCACGGTGAGCAGAGCCTGGTGCTGTGGGCAGGGACCAAGTGTCCCTGACTCCTGGCTGTGTCACCCCAGGGGGGATGGCCCGGCCACTGGCGGCCACCGCTGCCAGCCAGCTGCTCCCCCTGACGTCACCCCGGATCGCCTCTGCCCCCGATGGCCACTCGGCCCTCCTCCTGCCAGGCCAGCGGCTGGTGTCCCCCAAGCCGGTGACCGGCCTCTGCCCAGGAAACCACCAGCCCTCACCAGCCTTCCCCAAGCACGGGGAAAATGAGACAGAGGCCACTGTGGGGGACACAGGCTCCAGGGCCCCTGCCCTCGGCTCAGGCCCGCCCATGCACAGGGAGAAAACAGAGGGTTGCCCAGGGAGGTCAGCACCTGGTCAGGGCCAGTTGGAACCCTGCTGCAGCTGACCCTGAACCCGAGTTCTCACTTGTGGGCTTCCCGCCCACATGCCCGGTTCTGCATTTCTCGTGAGACCTTCCTCCTCTCATGGCTACACAAGACGCCAGAACGAAAGCAGCGGCTCAGGCCACCCTCCTCGTGCGGCACGGTGAGCAGGAGAGCTCTGTCCTGGCCCCAGGACCCAATAAACCAGCGGGCCTCCCTCTCCCTGAAGACAGCTGCCCCACCACCCAGGCCCGCTCAGCCTTCCCACCATGGCCCGTGGTGTCCTAGGAAGTCCCGTGAAAATCACCAGGCACCCGGGACAGGGACTGGGGTGGGTCCCCTGTGTCTGGGCACCTTTCTGGCCCTGCCCACTCGCAGGCACGCCTCCCCCGTGGGCATGGTGACCGTGCGTGGGGTGGTGCAGCCGGTACTCACTGGCGTTGGTGTTGTAGAACGCGAAGTTCCCGAGGCGGGGGGCGGGGTCTTCGCTGCCCTCCTCCTCCTCTTCCATGGCCTGCCCGCCCACCACCACCAGCACCTCCTGCAGCTTCTGCTGCAGGCCAGGCAGCACCTGTGGGCAGGAGCCGGGTCAGAGCAGCCGGCAGAGGCCCACCAGGGGGTTCTGTGTCGGTGCCTGTGTGTGGGCTGGGTAGGCCTCCACACACACATGTACGCACACACACACGTGTGCACATGGGCTTGTGTGCATGTATGTGTGTGAATGCCCTGGCTGCGTAGCTGTGGGGGGCACTCTTTGCCCACCCTGGAGCCACTCACTCCCGCATACACCCTTCAGAGACCCTAGAGCCGGTGCTCAGGCCCCTCCATGAGTCCCTGTCTCCAGGTCCCCCGCTCCCTCCCAGCCTGCCGGGGAGCCTCGGCTCAGTGGGTTCAGCAGCCTATGTCTGCATGGGTCGTGTGGCTGGCGCAGGCCCTTCTCTGGGTGTCCAGACCTCCCACCCTTAATAAGTACAAGATGACAAAGAGGACGTCCAGTGGAGGCCAGGGTTAGCGCTTTGCTGCATCCACTATCCACACTCCGTGGGGCCTGTGGCTGCCTGCATGTCCACCCCCCAGGCCCTGGGCAGGCTGCTGGCCGCTGCCCTCCACAGGCATCTCGGCGTGGCCACACCTGAGCCTGTTGTTCCACGAGGACCCGTCCCACGCCAGTCTGCTGCCATCACAAACGGAAGGACCTTTAAGGGCTTGTGGGCACCTTCAGATGCAGCTTCCGTGGCCTCTGAGTCCCCGCTGCCCCACCTTCCTTGATGGTGTTTCCTTCCCATCTCCCGCCAGGGCCCCGTTCCAATGCCACTTCCTCCAGAGAGCCCGCCCCGACGCCCAGCCTCCCCAGACTGTCTCCGCCCAGGGCTGGCTGGTCCGCTCTGCTTTCGGTCAGTTTCTAGGTTCATCCCTGCTGAGTCCTGGGCTCCTTCAGGCCAGGGACCCTTCCGGTTCCCCTCCCTAAGCCCCACAGTCTGTACTGACGGGGTGAATGGCGATGCTGTCACATGACACTAACTTGAGGCACGGTGGTGCAAGGTCGCAGGGTGCTTTGGATCATGAGATCCCTCCCATGCCTCACTCACCTCACTCCGGCCCTGGGCCAGGGCCTCCCGGCACGCCTCTGACCCCTGGATCAGGGGCTCCGTGGCCAGCAGCTGCTGCACGCAGGGCCCGGGCACGGCATCCAGGCGCACCAGGCTAAGGAGCTCAGGCAGGTGGGCGGCCCGGGCCTGGGGGTCGTGGCGCACCCAGCGCAGCAAAGCCTCCAGCCGGCTCTGCTCTGGCTGTGCCTGAAGCAGGTCGCTGGCCAGACAGGCTGCCAGCCGCTCCCGGGACAGCTGCAGGAACTCCTCCTCCTGGGCCACAGCCTCAAAGTTCTCCCGCAGGAAGGCCCAGGCCTTCGCGGCCACACCCGGCAGCCCCTGCTGCTCCCCAAACTCACAGATGCCCAGACAGTTGGTGGCATCCAGCTGCTGCTGGAGGTAGCGGCCGCAGACCTTCTGCACGGCGGGGAAGTGGAGGTGGGAGGCGGTGCGCGTCAGCGCCTCCACATTGCTCTGCGTGATGGTCAGCCGGCCTGTGTACACGAAGTCCACCAGCTGTCCCACCACATCCGGCTCCACGTCCCGCAGCTCCACGCGCGCAGAGAAGCTCTCGGAGAAGTCTCCAGCAAACATGGCGTAGAAGTAGGGGCTGCTCAGTGCCAGGAGGCCGCGGTGGCAGGGCAGCTCCCGGCCACGCACCAGCAGCGTGACGTCCGCCAGCTTGGGCAGGGCACGCAGCCGCTGCAGGCCGTCCAGCATGTCCTGGGCGTGAGAGGGCAGCTGGAAGTCCAGGTCATCCATGTTCCGCACCATGGCGCTGTGCCGTGGGGGCTCTGTGTAGTGCTGTGGGTCTGTCTATCTACCCAGTGCCTGAGGCCACTCTGAGCAACTAGGGAGGAAGACAGCAGCATCAGACGGGAGCCACAGTCTCATTCCCCCCTCCCCGTCCCCCGCTCCCCGTACCTATCATCTGCCATTCCTGCCCCATTCATCCAGGCCCAAGTCCTTCGAGGCAGACCGTGTGCTGCCCCTTCTTTCAGGGAGCAAGCTGAGAGGCTCAGAGGGCCAGACCTCCCACCAGGGCCAGGTAGGCAGGCAGAACAGGGCCTCCTCCATGGGCCTCCTTACCCTGCGGGGCTGCCGGGTGCAGACCCAGAGCACAGAGCAAGAGCCTCTATTCCAGACCCAACATTCCTAGACAGGCCGCGGGAGTGATTCCAGATTTCCTGCCTCACTGGTTTCCTGACCTGCCTAGGTGACCTTGCTGACCTTGGGTGAGCCACGCCCCTCTCTGAGCTGAGGCTAACGGGCCTCTATCACCAGCCCTCCCTTGAAGCCCCTGCACATACAGTGTAGCCCACCTACGGGACACAGCTCGGGCCTCTCCCTGCACTGACCCCTAAGTCCAACGACTGTCCCATCAGATAAAAGCTTTCATTAACAGCTGGGTAAACTGAGGCACAGAAGCACTGCTCACGATCACACAGCCAGGTAATGGGAAGCTTGGTCCATAGTTAAGAGCAGGTTACACAAGGTACAACCTGAGGTTGTTTCCAGAGAGAAACTTCACGCGGCAGAGCCCGTGATGTCAGTCACAAGCCTGCTGCCAGGCTGGTTGATGCTGTGCAGTTAATTTGCGTACACCTAGGTATTTTCCCCTAAGAAAACTGTTCCTCAAACGGTGTAGGAAGCCTTCGGCCCTGGGCGCCGCGGTGCTGGGGCTCCGCAGAGGCATCTGACCACCAGGGGGCGCCTCGCAGCACCGTGGGCAATGGTGGAATGCCAGGGGCGGAGCGGTGTCAAATGTCACAGCCCCCCCCCCAGCTGTGGAGCTGGTAAACTGCTGAGTCTTCGGCAAGGGATGGGCAGGGAGAGGGGGTGGGGGCAGGAGCCCGGTCCCCCCCCGCCCCGCCCCGGGCGCTCTGCTGCCCACAGTGCCAAGAAATGTCCCAGGGGCTGACTTAGGCCTTCCAGGGAGCACATGCCCACACAGGACAGCATTGGAAGCCACAGCCACAGTACAAGGCCAGCCAGGGCTGGTGTCCATCTCCTGATCCCCCGGGGCCTCTGTGGGGGAGGCGGGTAGATTAGCGGGGGGGGTAGGGGGGCCTTGCTCCCAGCCACCGCCCACAGATCTCACATCCCCCGCCATTGCTGCGCTCCCTCTGGGCCGCGATGGTGGCTGCCAGGCAGGAGTGCCCAGCTCTCCATGAGGGGTCTCCGGCTCCCTCAGACCTGCCGCACAGTGCTCCTAGCACCAGAGGAGGCTCCGGGGGTCTCAGGGCCCCTCACTGGCTGTCCAGGAGGCGAGGGTGGCCAGGAAGGACAGCGAGGAGTCTTAGCCCAGCCCGGCTGGAGTCCCAGGGCTCCCATCTCTCCCGGCTTGGTTTTCCAGCCAGGACATGAGGAAGTGTGCCCGCCCCCCCCCCGCCCACCCCTCGGCGTGGCCTAGCCAGTGGGCTTTGTCCAAAGTATTCAGCCCTGTGGCCCCCAGGCTGCCCGGCTGCCCTTGTGGCTGCCTGCCTGTATCAAGGCCACCTGGCTTGTCACCCCCTCCCCCCAGAGCCCCCGGCCTACCTCTCAGTGGACTCTGGGCCCCTTGCTGAGATGGGAGTCCTGAGGACAGGACTGGAGGCACGGTGCTGAGATGGGAGTCCTGAGGACAGGACTGGAGGCACAGTGCAGAGTGTGGAGGCCGGCTAGGCTAGGCTAGGCTGGGCTGGGCTGGGCTGGGCTGGGCTGGGCTGAGCTGGGCTGGGCTGGGCTGGGCTGGGCTGGGCTGGGCTGGGCTGGGCAGCCACGCGGGGGCCAGGGGTATTTTTAGCCTTTGTCTGCACAGGAGGGGGGCGCAGAGGGCGGAGCTGGGTGACAGTGCCTTGCAGCCCTTGCTCTGAAAGCTCACAGTCCACATGTTGTCTAAGGGTCTGGGCCTCTGGGTGACTGAGGGCCTTCCTGGAGCTTCCGGGACAAAGAAGAGTTTTTGCCCCCTCTGGGCAGCCAGGCTGAGGTGGATGGGGGAGAATGCAATGTGGGGACGTGTGTAAGGGGGGACAGTGAGATCCCCGCTCGGGGTGGGAGGCTGAGTGGAGGCCAGGTGCTGCAGGGCAGTGAGGAGCCCTCCAGCCCCCCCCCTCCCCGCAAGGGCAGGGGGAGCCACACAGAGGCGGGCCTCGGCTTTGGGCTGCCCTGGTGTCTCCATTCATCCCCAGTGCCCAAGGCGGCTCAGAAAAATGGGGTCATCTAAAAATAAAGCAGCGGAGTCCACACGCCGTCCCGGGCCCGGACGTGGCTCAGGATCGCAATCTCATCGGGTTGAGCTGGGGAGCTGACAAGGCTGGCCCACCCTGCCGTGCCCGTGCGCAGAGCCTCGCCTCGCAGCCAGGGCGGCAGGTGTGCAGAGGGGCCTCAGCCCGGGGCAGCTGTGCCAGGAGTCAGGGAGCCACAGCTGCCGGGCCCCAAGTCCATGAGGAATAGACTGACGCTCTGACAACACGAGACCCGGCAGACACGCTGACAGACGGGCGGCGTGGCGGCCCCGGGGGACGGCGCGCCTAGACACTGTTCAGGGTTCTGTCAGCCAGACCTGGGAACACACACGTCTGCGTGGCCAGCACAGCAGCCAGGAGGCAACACGAACCGGTCACCGCAGCCCTGCTGGAGGAAAGAGGCAGCCGCTGCCCAGTGCCTAGCTCCACGCTGAGCCCCTGCCCACCCCCAGCCCACCCCGCGGGGCTCTCCTCTTGGCTTTAGGCCTCACATGGGTGCCCTCATTCCATGGATGTCCTCGGCTGTCCTGTGCGCCCCCAGAGGGGGACGGGCCGCAGGCCTTGGCTTTGTCCATTTATAGACTCTGCTCGGCCTGGAGGAGGTGAGGGCAGGGGCACTAAGGACAGCTCCCAGGCACTGGCTCGACTGGGCACATGGCCGCGAGCCAGGAGGCATTGTGGGATTCAGAGGCCCAGGGCCTCAGACCACAGGTCTGTCAGGGGCCACTTGGGATGCCAGGGCTCAAGATGGATCCTGTTGGACAGACTGCTTCAGAGCAATGCATGTTTTCAACACGTGACTTGTTTACTTCTGGGACAAGAGTAACACAGACAATACAAGCTGCACCCACCACGGGCCATACCCTAGACATCCCGATTCCTCCCATCCGGTCCTGCGTTTGTCTGTTCTCACTGCGCAGTGCGGAATCATAAGCATCTCTGATGAGATCAGGGCTGTAAATATGGGTGTCAGTTTCATCTCAGCAGGGCAACGCCTCACTTTCTCAGGTGGGAAGGGACATGTGCCTCCTGGTGGGGATGTTGGGCTCACTTTCCAGTGTGGACGGCTCTGAGGGGGAGGGCATCGGATTCAACCTGGTGATTAGTTTCCCCAGGATAGAACCTGAGCTCAAAACCATTGAGTGAAAATACGCACCAGGGGCTCACGTCTGTAATTCTAGCTACTCAGGCGGCTGAGATCTGAGCACTGAGGTTAAAAGCCAGCCTGGCAGGAACAACACTGGGTCTGAGGACCATGGCCTCGTTCTCACGGCCATCCTGACACCTTGCTGGGTGCAGAGCTTTCCACCCAGCTCTGAAAAGCCTAGTGGTGGGAGAGGCCAGCCGGTGCTTAGCCCCGGGAGAACTCCGCCTCACAGATATGCAGCAGTCATGCCGTTTAGCCCTAGGAAAGCTTTGCTACAGAGAATGCTGGCCCTCTGTTTCCTCTACATGGTCTGATTTGCTTGCCTCTATCTCCCTAAGTGGAAAATTTGTATCCTCCTTATATGTAAGTTTAGCAGACCCTGAGCTACTGTAGGCTCTCCAATAAAGACTCCCAATTTGACCTCTCAAAATGTGGCCTCTCTCTGTTTTCTAATGCTGGCAAGCGCATGCTCACGTGCTCGCACACACACTCACACACACTCACACACACACACACACACACACACACACACACACACGCAGTTTGGGAAGGGAGCTTGCTCATTTGTCCCCGCAGGCTGTGAGGCCCACCGGGGTAGGGTGCCCAAGGCTGACCAGCCACATGCTTTTCTGAGTGGTTTACAGTGACTCTTCCATGTGGGTTGATCTGGGGCACAGGGTGCTGTGGTCATTCTTGTTGTTCTGATAGAAAATCAGCTCTCAGCACAATTCTCTGAGAACTGCGGTGGTGTCTTCAACTCAGATGTCTGTTTTCAGGTGGAGTTGGCGTCGCCATGTCTGATGTACCACTCTCTCTAACTGTAATGTGTTCGGTTCAGAAGCGAGCCCCTCCTTGGCACTGTCCTGTTGTATCTCTCAGCTGTTGCCCTGTAACAAGTCTCTCCAACCCAGCGTCTCTGAACAAATGCTGTGTCGCTGTTTCTTTTGACATGGTCCTTTCAGAAGGTCTCATTAGGCCACATTGGAGGTCCAGCCCAATTGCAGTCATCTGATACAGGGTGGAGGCTGGAGGGATGTGTGTGGGGCTCATAACCACCCCTGGGTTAGTACAGGTCTGTTCAGTGGTTTCCTTGAGGTGTAGAAAGAGCAAAGGGGCTGAGCACTGGTGAATCATGCCTGTAATTCTAGCTACTTAGGAGGCTAAGATCTGAGTATTATGGTTTGATGCCAGGCTGGGCAGGAAAAGTCCATGAGACTCTTATCTCCAATTAATCACAGAAAAAGCTGGAAGTGGAGTTGTGGCTCAAATGGTAGAGTGCTATCCTTGAGCAAAAGAGCTCAGGGACAGTGCCCAGGCACAGAGTTCAAGCCCCAGAACTGGCAAAAAAGAAAGAAAGAAAGAAAGAAAGTGAAAAAAAGAAAGAAAAAAGAAAGAGTAGGGGGCTGGGGTCGCAGCGATTGTGTGGCGTCCAGTAGTGATATAACGATATAGCTTGTGCAGTCTTGCAGGATATCATGACCGGCGAGAGGCAGGCCTCACAGCTACCTTTGATTCCTTCAAATAACCCTGACAGTCATTTACAGAGAAGCAGCTGGGCTCTGTCTCACACCTGGCTGCTGGTGGGGCGCTGCTGCGGGAGCACGGACACCTCCACCGTGCTCATGACCAGCTGGTGGTCAGTAACATTGCTTGCTCCAGGCGGCATTCCCCACCGCCCGCCACGGTTTCTGTCTCTACCTCTCCACGTGGCCCACCTCCAACCCTCACACTTCCTGGGGCATAGAGAAGCGCCCCCCTGCCCCCCCCCCAGCACACACACCTACACACAGCTTACCAGGAAGCCTGTTCCATGTCTGGGCCCTCGGGCCTCAGTGCTCTTTCACCAAATCAATGACATTACAGGCAGCAGGCAGAACTTACTGCTGCGAGCATGGGCTGGCGGCCAGCCCTGCCGACTCTGGGCAGCCCTGCCGCTCCTCATGGGGGCTGCTGTGGGGCGGGCTTCCTCCCAGCGCATTGGAACCACCAGCTGTCCAGCCCCACTCCAAGCAGAGAGCCAGATCTCTGCGGGTGGGCCTTTGAGGCCTGGGCCTGAGCCCCACTACACATATCTGCCCGTCAGACCCCTGAACCTAGGTCCTTCCCCTCCCAGATCTTGTTAGTACCTCCAATAGCCTGGGTCTGCCCAGCTAGGAAACTGAGGCCCAGAGACTGTGAGGGACGTAATTTAGGCTGCCAGGTGGGCTGGGACATCCAAGCTGGTGCGCTGACTTCCCGCCCAGAAGCCACTCAGGGCTGGGCTCCACCCAGCTAGGCCAGCCCCTCCCCTCCCCTCCTGCTTGGCCAGCTTCACCTGGCCAGTGGCCCTGAGGGGATCAGGAGATTCCAGAATGTTTGAACATTCCTAGAAGTGGTGAGGCTCCAGGGAGGCCTCCAAGAGGAAGAGGCCTCCACCTGGCCCTCGGGTCCCAGATTTGTATGACAGAAAAAACAACTTTAGGACACATCAAAGTAGAGGGCAAGAAAGTTTATTAGTAAAGCAAAGCAGAAGATAGTACCCCTCCCCCAGACAGGGTGAGGGCACACCTGGTACACCCCTTCCTCCAGACGGGGTGCGGGCACACCTGGTAAGGGGGCATTGGCTGCTCTGGCTACAGGATACTGATGCTGAAAGGTGGGCTGGTTTGTTTGAATTCGTCTTAGGCTGAGGGCTTCTCTTCATTCTGGACACCTGGTGCATTCGACCGTTTCTGCTTTCTGCTGTGAAGACCTTAGCAATCAGGCCCAGAGCATTCAGACCTAGCCAGTTTACTGCATTTGGGCCACATTGACATGCATGTCTGCCGTCCTTGAGCACCCCTTTCAAAAATGGGGAGTGTCCAGCCCCCAGGTCATACAGCCTGCCAAATCATGTAAGACCCAGGAGCACACACGTGCCTCTCGGAAGCTTTCCCTCAGCTGCCAGTGGCTGTCTGCCTGTCTGGAGAATTCCATATGCCCCGTGAACAATGTTACAAATACTCCAATGGCCCTTGGCGAAACAAGGTTCCTCACCGCTGCCGGTTCACACAAAACTACATCAGACGCTCCTTCAAACCACGTGTCCGTCCTGAACTTCGGCCTTCTTTGCAAATGCTTCTGTGAGCAGACATTGCCGCCTACCCCTGTGTCTTTCTTTAAGACATCCTCGCTCAGTTTCCAAGCACGGTGACCACTGGGCGAGTGGGTGAGCGTGGGCAGGGCCGGCAGGGACCGAGGAGCAGTGCCCCGCACACCCACAAAGCCGGTCATTACCAGGTGTACCCCAGAATTTCCACCTGTTTCCTGTTTCCCTGCTTTGTTTCCTGATTGTCCTGCCCACCCTCTGGCCCGTCCTCATCCCCAAAGCCTGTCTACAGCTGTGGGCCTTCCTGAGCGAGGGGGGGTGCTGGGGAGACGCGCAGCTGTGCAGCAGCACCCCTACAACTCTGCAGTGCTGGTCCCCAGCTGGCAAGTGCTGGAGGTGACGGTGGCCCCTGGCCGTGTGCTCCCGACTGACGTGAGCCGGGCTGGCAGCTCAGCCCTGACCTCCACAGTCACGGCACAGGTGGGAAGTTGGGGGCCCCAGGGACTGAGGGTGCTCTGGGGCTGCGGCTGAGCTGGGGCATGGTTGGCTACCTCATGCCAGGATCTGTGGGCACAGGCGGCTCTCCTGGGGGCCGTGGATGGTGCGTGGTGGTCAGCCAGCAACGGGGGAGAGGCGGCCCCGGCCAAACTGCCTTGGAACAACCACTGCGTGGGGGAAGGGGGTGAGTGAGGTAGGGGGGTGTCCCCCCCCTCCCAGCCCGGCCAGCACCACAGGAGCCCCAGCCACCCTCTGCCCTGCCTCGCCGCATCCCACAGCCTGTCTGGGGCCCTCCCCAGTCACCCAGAGTTGTCCCTGCCCCCAGTGGTATGACGGAGGGGGCTCTGCAGAGGACCTCCAGGGTGCCTGGCGCCCTGTGCTGCCTCTGCCCAGGGGGCCTGGCTACCGCAGCTGGTGGCCACGGTGAGCCTTGACCCCCACCACCAGTTGGGGTTATCACCCAAAGCCCAGGGCCCCACCCACAGCCCGGGTGGCGGCGCTTCCTCCTGCTGCCATGGGAGCTGGGGACAAACCACAGCCCTCATCCAGGGCGCCGCCTCAGCTTCTGGTCACCTGACTTCCTACAGCCCGCCAAGAACCCACCTGACACCCCCATGCCCCTTCCATCCCCCCACCCCCGTGCAGTGCTCTCCCAGGGCCCAGGGGTTCCCAGTGCTGCCCACAGGCCTGGGGCAGGAGAAGGGCTGGTCCTCTGCAGGCCGATGGGGCTGCTGGCATCTGTCCCTGCTGCTGGCATCGCAGAGGGCAGCTGTGTGTGATCGGCCATCTGCCTGAGTCAGGGAACTGCGGAGGCCTCCTGCCCACGGAGAGCTGCTCTCTCCAAGCCCAGAGCTGTCCCAAGTCCCCAGGTGGAAAGGACAGGCACGCGGCAGCCCAGCGCTGGGGAGGCCCGGGGTGCGCACTCGAGGTGTGCGGAGCTCCGATGTGTCCAAGCATTCCGGCACCAGGGAAACCGAGGGACAGGCCGTCCCGGTGGCTCAGAGCACGGAAGAAGGTTAATAGGAAAGAGATCCCGGGGGTCGGGGTGAGCAGGGGCTGGGTGGCCAGCTGCCAGTGCGGGGCAGTGGTGTCAGGCCTCCTCGGGTCCTAGGACTCCTGTCCTCACTGGTGAAGGAATTCTGATTCCAGGTCACTGCTCAGAGAAGGAAACCCGGCTGAGGAGCGCTGGCCTTGCCCCGCTGGCCTGGCCCCCAAGTGGCTGGGGAAGGAAAGGAAGACAAAACTCAGCCCTGCCCAGAGCCCCGCGGGGAAGGCCACCGCTGGCCCTTACTCTCCAAAGTGGAACATCTCTGCCTCCTTCTCCTTCCAGAAGGCGAAGCTCCGGTCGATGTAGCCGCAGATGTCCTCATTGTTGAAGCTGCCCTGCTGGGCACCAGACTGCAGCCGCGGGGCCGCGGGCTCCGGGACCAGGGGCCTGAGCGGGCTCAGTCCCAATTTCCGGCCAGGCTCCATGTCCCAAGAGGGACCCTGGCTGGTGCCAAAGAAGCGAGCTTTGATGTCCTCGAAGCCATCCGTCCAGGCCCGGCGGCCGGAGGCCACCTCGTCGGTCACGGCCTTGTGGAAGGTGCGCACGGCCTCCCAGCCGTGGGCCCCCAGGTGCTCGAAGACCTCGAAGCAGAGCAGGTGGCGCATCTTGCGTTCCTCGGCCGGGAGGTCGCACTCCAGCAGCTGGAAGTAGCCCAGCATGAAGAGGTCCAGCGAGAGGCTGCCGTAGGGCACGGGGGCCCCGTCCACGTGGGGCAGGAACTGCTCGGGGGACAGGGGGCCCTGGGGACGCCGGCTCAGCCGCCGCAGCTGCCGGGCTGGCACGTGGGCCATGATGGCCTTCCAGTTGCCCAGCAGGTGGGTGATGATGCCCCGCTGCTGCCACAGGTGGCTGAGCCGGGGCCCCTCGCTGGGCGGAGGGGGCGGCTCCGGGCTCCTGGCAGCCTCCTGCCCCCTGCTCCTGGTGCGGTGCACCTCCAGGGTCCGGCAGGCGGCCGTCTTGAGGGCGGGCGTGTAGGCCGACTTCTTCCAGTGGCTGAGGAAGAGCGTGATGATGCGCTCCTTGCGCAGGCTGGCCAGGTCCGAGCCCGGCCCCGCCCCTTCCGACGGGGCCTCTTCGCAGCTGATGCCCGAGTCGCTGGCTTCCTCCGTGTCACCTGGTGCAGGCTCCCCTCCAACCGGGCCGCCACGGGGCTGTGGGGCCACCGGCCAGCAGCCTCTCGGGCACGGCCTGGGCTGGGCCCCTGCCTCACCGGGGCCCAGATTCAGAGCACAGGGCAGGCCTGGGGCCAACTCGAAGTTGCCACGTAGGGTTCGCACACTCACCCCACATTCCTGGATCTCCCGCTGTGCGTCGCTCCGGGGGGGACCGGCCGGGACCCCCCTGCAGGTGTCCAGAGGCCCCGGGGCAGCTGCCTTCCCCTCGCTCTGCCCCAGCCCGTTCACCCCTGTCAGCAGCAGGGACAAGCTGCGTACCAGGCGGGCGATGTGGCTGCACCAGAATGGCAGGGGCTGCCCGCCGGGCCCCGTTTTCTCTGCGCCCGCCGGCCCCTCGGGCTCTGCGGCCGGGGCCGGGGCTTCCTCATCCTCCGGCCCTGGGGGCCGCGGCAGGAAGTGGCTGTTGACCGTGATCCTCACCAGGGGCTCGGGCAGCAGCGCCTGCAGCTCGGCCGCCAGCCGGCCCAGCTCGCTCTCGTACTCCTCGCAGCGGCGCCGCAGCTGCAGGTCTGCGATCTGCTTCTCCAGGTACACCAGGTCGTCCTCTGTCAGCAGCTCCCCGAAGGGGCCAAGGATGGCCCGGTGGGCCTGGGAATAGCGCCAGGCGGCCGGCTCCCCGGGTCCTGGGCCGCCACTGTCATCCTGGGCACAGGGAGGACAGGGTTGGCTGGGCCACGGCCCACTGGGCCTCACGTAGGAGGAAGCATTGCCCTGCCAAGCGTGAGCTCCCTGCGGACCCCAGCCTGCACCCCAGCTGGCCCTGACCTGGCCCTGGAGGGTAAACCAGGGCTACAAATTTGACCTGGGTTTTCCCAGAGCTCCTCTGCTGACAGTTTTAGAAGCTTAGCCTAGAGGCCTCCAGCTTGTCAGAACACGTTCTGGATCTAAAGACACATTGTTCAAGTGCACTTAAAGGAGTTAAAATGTGGAGCTGGGAAGGTGGCTTAGTGGTGGAGCGCTTGCCTTGCATGCATTAAGCCCTGGGTTCGATTCCTCAGTACTACATAAGCAGAAAAAGTTGGAAGTGTCTCTGTGGCTCAGATGGTTGAGCCTTGAGCAAAAGAGGCTCAGGGACAGTGCCCCCACCCTGAGTTCAAACCCCAGGACTGGCAAAAAAAAAAAAAAGTTAAAATTTGAGTCTGGAGGGGCACGTTTCCCTCTGCTTCCTCCTCCCAGAGCCTCTCCCGCCCCAAAGGATCCTGCAGTCCCTGTCTAGGTGGCGGCCCAAGACTCTGCCTTGCAGTCCCTGGGCCGTGTTGGCCTGCAAGAGCTGCCCGCCCCACATGGGCCGACCACAGCCAACGCCCCAGTCACCCAGCCTGCCCACCTCCATTTCCCAGAGTTCTCAGCTCACTCTGACAGGCTGGGACAGCAGACCCACACGACCAAGGGCCGTAGTGTGTGGCGCCATCAGTCGCCCATGTCTAGAAGCAGGTGTGGCTGGGGCCAGGGTGGAGTCAGGTCCTTACTGTTGTTGGGTTTTAACCACATTAGCTGCTGGTGTAGGCCCCTAGGGTCGACTTCTAGAATACTGCCTCACAGCAGCGAGGGATCCTGTTAAACCCCAGGTCAAATCACAGCCGCTTTTCTGCTCAGATTCCACTGGCTCCTTTGACACCCCCCTGGCCCTGAAATAGCCGCCCTTTCTTCTGTGCTTCGCTCGGGCCACCGACAGCTCCCGCTGCATAGCTCGCTCGGAGCGGGCACTGCACCTCTGTACCTCTGGACCTGTGCACTTGCGATTTGCTCTGCCTGGCGCATGCCTGGATCCAACCCCCACAGGCTCCTCACTCTCTTCCCTCTCAGTTGGTCTGCCCCTGCCCAGGGCACTGCCCAGCACAGGGCCAGCCAGCAGCCCACCAAGTCAGAGAGCGGGCTAGCCCGCCCAGCTCAGAGCCTCTGACCCTGGTTGGCCCCTCTGGTGGCAGAAGCTGAGGCCACAGGGCTCAGGGCCTGGCCTGGGGCACTACCTCTTCCACTTCCTCTTCCTGGAGCTACCTCCCACCCGCCCTCCACCCCGGGCCCCACCCTTGCCCGGCACACCTGGGCCTCGGGATCCAGAAGGGGGCCTGTGCCCAGGCGGGCCTGCAGTTTCCGCACCATCACCTGACGCTTCCACTCCGGGATGGGCCTGCCGAGTTCATCCTGCGTGGGCACCAGCCCGTCCAGGTCTCCCGAGGGCAGCACGTCCAGCTGCAGGGCAGCAAGGCCCTCTGGGGCCTCCCCTGCCGCCATCTCTGCCCCCTGTACAGAGCAGGAGGAGACCCAGCAAGATCAGCATCTGGTGTGCAAACAGGACGTTCCCTGGACGAGGGTAGCAAGGGTCACAGACAGCCCCGCCACCTCCCTGGCCCCTCGGTCCCTCCAGGGTAAGGACCCATCCGTGTGGGTCCAGATGCATGTGGGAGGCGGCACCGTCTCCTCCAAGGCTGGGAAGAGTGTGCCATATAGAAGGGCAAAAACGGCATGGCTAGACTCCAAACTCTGGCCACCAGCCAGTACTGCAGGACTGCTCAGAACCTTTATGACCCTGGGGTCCCTGTCTGAGGCGAGTACCAAGTGGCACTTCTCAAACTCATATGAGGTCCACTTTGTGAACTGGGAAAGCGGGGCTGGACAGAGGAGCAGGCCTCCTCCGGAGGGCCCAGTGCTGGCTGGCCCAGGAGGAGTGGGCACCCGGCCTGCCTGCCCGTGGACAGCTACTTCTCTGTGCTGGGTGCAGTTTCCAAGGGGGACATGGAGAGTCCCTGGGTTCAGGACCAGGGTGAGGGCCTGGCACTGGAACTCTCGGGGTGATGGGGAAGGGCCACACGTTTTCTGAGATGGCTTCTGAATTTCCCATCCCCTCAGAACCAGAGGTGCCATGGCTGCAAGACCTGGAGTCTGTCCTAGAGGAGGGGCCTCGCTGGGGGTGGAGGGGCTGTGGCCTGGACCCACGAAGATCACATGGGGCTGGCTGGACTTTGGGATTGGCTAGGGGCAGGGAGGCTGAGAGACGCACCTCGGCGGTGGCTGGGGTGCTGGTGGCCCCTGGGGAGGCTGTGCTGGCTGGTGGCTCCCTTGGGCCAGGCTGTCCGGGCCAGGCTGGGCTGAGAGTCACGGCTGCTGGCAAGAAGGGGAGCTGGAGTCAGAGGGTGGCACAGTAAGGGCAGAGGCAGAGATGCCCAGCCTCAGAGACCTTAACCTTACGGAGCCCCGGAAGGTAGCCTGGCCTTGGGGCGGCTGGGGCTCTGCACACACCACCTGCCCCAAGCTTCTCTCTGGCGTCGGTGGGGCCTGGGCCAGGCCCGGCCACCTGTCAGCCAGCATCTACTCCCTGCCCCCCACTGGTCCTGCAGCTGGACAGAGCTGCAAAGGCCACGAGGCCTAAGGGTGAGGGACCTGTGGCGGCCACACCAGACCCCAATGTTGTCCCTGCACCGACCTTAAAACCCCCGCCGCACCAACACACACAGCAGTGCCACAGCCCAAGAGAAACAGGTATACACCATGACCTGGGCGCACACGCGCACACACACTCACACAAAGACACACATGCAGCATCTAGATACACAGTGGCATACACACACAAGCACACATGCCTGCAGACACACAAACATACAGAATATACAGAGACACACACACAAACAGGCCAGACGCACACAGAGCACACACAGAGAAACACATGTGTAGGTATACACAGACCACATGTATATACATATAGTCTATATACATACCTGCACACATGTACACATAGACAAAAACCCCAGAGACACTGACATGCATGCACATGTACCTGCAGACACAGAGACACACGTGCACATGTACATGCAGACACACATATAGGCAATGCACTCCTATGGTCACTTAGCTGCCATGTGTCCCGTGCAGAGGCAAAACCCCACTGCACGTGGCATGTGGTACTTTTCAGGCCACCCTGTTTCAGTTTGGTAAGTGCTGGTCACTGGTCTCTAGTGAGTGGTCACCACAGGTGAACGGCTCTGCTGTTCCCTGCTAATGACTCACAGCAGCTGGGACCCACTCAGCCTGCCCATTCCCTTCAAGACAAGTCACTGTGGTGCAGTGCTTTAAAAAGCAACCAAGCGTCAGGCACCAGTGGTCACCCCTGTCATCCTAGCTACTCAGGAGGCAGAGATCTGAGGACCATGGTTCAAAGCCAGCCCAGGCAGGAAAAGTCTGAGACTCTTAACTCCAATCAAAGATTTAAAAAAAGCTGTAAGTGGAGCTGTGGCGCTAGCCTTGACAAAAGCTCAAAGGCAGAGATCCTGAGTTTACGCCCCAGACCCAGAGGCAAATAAAGTACAACTCCTTAAACAGCAACCAAGCTGACAAAAGAAGGTGGGAAGAAGTGGCAGCGGTGGCAGCCCCTCAGGAGGCCCCCACACCAGTCCACACCAGTCCACACCAGCTCTGCGCAGGCCAGTCCTGCGCAAGCTCGAGCACTCACGTGGGGGGCTCCTGAGCTGCGAGCCCCCTCTTCCTCCATCCTCCACAGAGAGTCTTGCTGCGGACAGTGGAGGGGGTGGGAAGGGTGGCGGTGGGGGTGTCATCAGGATCGGCACCTAGTGGGGGGAGGAGACGGGCCTGGTCAGCAGAGGCCCAGGTAGACCCGACTGGGGCCTATCCCAGCCTGCCTGCAACCCCCAGCCCTGGTCCAAGGCCGGGCTGCTTTGTCTGGAGCCTGGCCTAGGAGTCGAGCTGTCCTGCCCCTGTCCCTCCCACGAGGGTGCCCAGACTGGTGGGCCTGCCCACCCTCTCAGAAGAGAAGGGCCTGACTGGTCACAGAGAGAACCTCAGTCCACCCGGAACTTTCCACAGCCCTCTACGTGTGGCTGTGACGATACCTCAGGCAGAGGTGCCTTGCCTAGGATCTGCCAGGAGGGTCTCTCCCCATGCCCTGCTGCCGCTCGTGCCCACTGGGGCCAGGCCAAGACCAGGCCCCTTCCCAACCGCCTCCAGCAGGGCCGCTGGGGCCAGCTTGCGGGGCCGGGAGGTGCTGCGCTGGCCGGCAGGCGGGGGGCAGCCTGTGGGGCTGGGAGCTGCAGGGCTGGCTGGCAGGCGGGGGGCAGGCCCAGGCATGGCCTTGGTCACTGCTGCAGACTTTGGCCACTGTCTGTGGGAAGCCAGAAAGAGCCCTTGACTCCAAGTGCTGCCCTGCTCAGCCTTGCCACCTGACCAAGAGAAGCCCAGGCTCCTGTCCCTGGCGACCCAGCCGCAGGGCTGGGCCTGCTCTGCCTCCCCGACTTCTCCAGGTCCTCGAGTCAGGGGAGAGGCCGCTTGACCCCCATCTCCAACCACCGATGCCCGGCTCTGGAGGGCCAGCACAATCTTGATGCCCATCTGCTGCCCTGCCTCCAGCTCCCTCGAAGTGTCCCCCAACCATCAGACTGGAGTCTCTCAGCAGGGGGACCCCAGAAGACCGTGGGACTTACAAGTCAGGGATCTGGGTCTGGTACTGGGGCAGCCCTGGCCCCAGCTCAAACCAGCACCGATGCAAGATGTACGACGCGAGGCCACCGTCCAAATCATGAGCTGGGGCTGGGGCTGAAGCTCATACTCGCATCTGCCTTCGAGGTTCCTCTCTGCATGGGTCCCGACTGCGACTCCGCCCGCGCTGCCCGCACCCCCAGCCTCGGTGCCCACCTTGAGTATGGCAAGGTGTGCTGCCCCTCCCCCACACCACCTACAACTCAGCCCACCAGGTCCCGGGGAAGGGCACGCTGCCGGAACCCCCATCTGCCTGGCCCCACGCACCTTCTTCCAGGGATCCACAGCGGCCCAGAGGCCCCAGCCCTGGGCCTCCGTCCAGACTCGGCCTAGGAGACCATCAGGAGCCGGCCCGAGGCAGCACAGTGCAGGGAGCCGCGGCCATGCCGGGGTGTCGGGGGCTGTGGCGCTGCGGCCCCCAGGAGCGGCAGGTGTCACATTAATATTTGAAGGCCGAGGTGTCGGGTGGCCAGGCGGGCCGGGGCTGCACAGGCGATCCCTTACCACAGATCCACAGCCCTCCCCCACACGGGGGCCACGGTGGACCCTCTGCCAGCCGGGGACCCTCAGGTCCAGCTCCACGCCCCTCAAGAAGAGACCAACCCGATAACCCCCCGTCCACAGTCCAGAAAGCACTCCAGTGGGGTAACTGAGGCTCGGAGAGGGGTACAGAGCTTCTGCACAGTCCTGCATGTGGATAGGAGAGTTGGACCAGGGTTCTGCTGAGCCCAGCAGCCTTTGCTTTGGCAGCCCAAGGCCCTGGGTGGTCTCCTGCATGCAGGGGTGCCAGAGTGGCAGGGCTAGTGCTGTGGGTCTGCACGTTCCCACCACGAGGGCAAAGCCTGCGCACTGCCCTGGGCCCCCGCAGGGATGCGTGCAGGGCAGCCCAAGAGACTGCAGTGGGCCTGCTTGCTACTTGCTCTAAAATGGGGTCCCGGACTTCTGCTCTTTGGCTGAGACACAGTCCATGGGGTCCAGCCACTTGGACTCCAATTGTATTGCTTGGGGCTGGGAAGACAAGGATCCTGCTGGGGTCTCAGGCCCCTGTCTCCGACTGAAGCCTCCTCCTCACCTCACCCGCGGGGAGGTGCGGCCTGGCCAGGCCAGCAATGCTCACCTCCGGCTGGCAGGACAGCAGAGGCAGGAGTTGGCCCGAGCTGGGGAAATGGTCTCTTAGTGCGGTCCTTGCAGCCTGGGGACCTCAGACCACTCTTGGGGCCTTGGCTTAAACCCCACTCTACTCCCCACTGAGAAGCCACAGAGCCGCCATGTCCCCATCTGTGAGGCCCCATGCACCCATCCGTGAGCCACCATGCCCCAGTCTGTAAGCCTCCATTCTCCCGTCTGTGAGCCACCATGCCCCAGTCTGTAAGCCTCCATTCTCCTGTCTGTGAGCCTCCATTCTCCTGTCTGTGAGCCTCCATTCTCCCATCTGTGAGCCTCCATTCTCCCGTCTGTGAGCCTCCATTCTCCCATCTGTGAGCCTCCATTCTCCCATCTGTGAGCCTCCATTCTCCCATCTGTGAGCCTCCATTCTCCTGTCTGTGAGCCTCCACATCCCCATCTGTGAGCCTCCATTCTCCTGTCTGTGAGCCTCCACATCCCCATCTGTGAGCCTCCATTCTCCCGTCTGTGAGCCTCCACATCCCCATCTTGTGAGCCTCCACGTTCCCATCTGTGAGCCTCCACATCCCCATCTGTGAGCCTCCATTCTCCCGTCTATGAGCCTCCATGTCCCCATCTGTGAACTGGCTGCTGAGGTGTGGAGCTGCTGGGAGCTGCTGGCCAGGCCTGCCCCATCACCACGCGCCTGCCCCTCGATGGTCCTCAGGGTGGGCAGGAGGGCCAGCGTCAGTCCATCTTTGGATCCTCACAGCTGCCCAGCAAACCTGCCTGCGTCCCGGCCTGGGCCCCGTGAGTCTGGGGTCCCCCTGGCCGCAGGCCTGCCACCTCAGGCCTTGTTTTTGGTGAGATTTGAGCATCGCCGGCCTGCCATGCATTATACATCCAGGGCGGCCGTGCGAGCCGGGTTACAGCCTGTAATGCCACCCGGGCGAGAAAATCATGACCTGAAGCTGGGTCTGGACACCGTCCCTGAGGCTGAGATTGGATTACTGGCCGGGCGGCCTGGCCTTACCGCTCCTCAGACAGGACATGGTCCAGGGGAGCCCCTTGCTGTTCTCTGGGCCCCATCTTCCCACCTGCCCAGGGCAGAGCCCAGCTCCTTCCCCTTGGAGAGGGGACGAGCCCACGTGAGGCTGCCACCACCGAGCTTGCCAGGACAGGCTCTCCAGTCCTGAACCTCGACAGGGAGCGGAGGCTCAGCTTCGTGCAGCACGGCAGCCCAGGAGTCCAGCAGACACGACTCTGTCCCGCGGGAGTGAGTACACACGTGGGTGAGCTCGCGGGCCGGTGCTGGGGCCTGTCCTGCATGCACAGAGGCCCACGGGATGCCCAGGCAGCGCAGCCATCAGCCAGCGAGGGGGAGGGGGAGCAGGGTCTGCTTTGGGGGTCCTTGGGAGGTGGCCCAGCTCCTCACCTTGCAGAGGGGAGTCTGAGGCCCCGGGAGGGGCAAGGTTGGCCTTTGGGGGTGTACGTGGGCCCCATGCTAGGGAGCAGGAGCACTGAAGCCCCCCCCCGTCACAGGGGGACAGTGAAGGGGCCTCCCATGGGGCCCCTCCCCGGCCCCGCAGGGCAGGGTTCAGCACTGACAGGCTCTGCCCCCTCCCACCCCAGCAGTCCCAGTCCCGGGGCAGCTCAGGCTGTGGCGGCAGGGGCAAATGGCGGATGTCCCCACCTCCTCCAGGGGACAGGGAGACGGGTGCCGGCCACCTATGTGTATCGCGTTTCCATCAATATTGCAGCAGGCTGGGCTGTGTGCACTGCCCTGCCGGCCCGCACCTGCCGGCCCGCGCCCCGCGCCCCACGCCCCGCCCTGTGAGCAGAGGCGGAGGTCTGGGCAGGGGGCAACTCCAGGCAGAGCCCGGTACCCCTGGTGGTTGCTGTGCAGGTCTAGGGGAGACGACACGGGGGCCAGGGTGCAGTCCGAACCCTGAGGTCCAGATGGCTGTGAACCACGTGCCGCTGCGAGCCAGGGCGGGCACCTGGATGTGGGCAGGAAGGGCTGCAGAGAGCAGGAAGTGGAGGCCTGACGTCACGGTGGGGTGGGGGCACCGACCCTGAGGAGACAACCGGTACCAGAACCCCAGGAAGCCTGGGCTGGCTCCCCTCAGCCTGGGGGTGTCCGGACGCCTCCCCCAGAGGAAGGGTAAGGCACGGCAGAGGCTGGCTAGAGCCAGGATGGACCGGAAGGCGGGGGCCTCCTGTGACAGTGCGAGGCTGTGACAGGCCTGTGGCAGGGGCTGTGGAGCGGCGTCAGCAGAGCCATCCTCCCCACCCCCAACCCCATCTCCATCCAGGTGGGGCCTGAGCCGGGAGGATGCGGGAGTTTGGCAGCCTGTGACCCCGGGTGCGGGGCCTGTGACAGCGGCCCATCTAGAAACCAGCTTCTGCCCAGGAAGAAAGATCGTTCACCAGACAACAACCACAGTAACTGAAAGGACCAGCCCGGGCTCGGGTCCCAGGCCTCAGGAGCCGTCTGAGCTGCAGCAGACCCGGCGCAGGGTTAAGGCGGCTGCAGGGTGGGACTCTTGGCTATGACTGCGTGAGGACCGCACGGCGGGCCCTGCTGGGGGAAGGGAAGGACTCTGCCTCAGTTTATCCTGGATGTTCTGAGGGGGTACCTCGAGAGAGGAGAGGTATAGAAGATCTGGGGCTGGGGATGTCACTTATGGGTCTTGGCATACAGACTGCCGGGCTGGGGCTGGTTGGGTGCTGTCACCACCTTGGGCTGGACAGGACGTGGGGACCGTGCAGGGCTGCGGAAGTGCTGGCTGTGTCACCAAACTGCTGGTGTGGCTCTCTTCAGCCGGCCCCTCTGCCCTCCTCTCTCTGCCCTCCTCTCCTCTGCCTCCCTCTCCTCTGCCCCCCATCCCAGTCCCCTGCTTTCCGCTGCCCCCCTCTCCTCTGTCCGCCGTCACCCGCCCATCTGCTCCTCTGTGGACTCTCCCTGCTTCATTGGCTCATTCATACTTGCTCAGCCGTGCCTACTGCTGGGGGGAGTGTAGCAGAACAGCAAGACCCCTGTCCCTGCAATGTGGAAATGGGCACGGAGAGGTGGGGAAACAGGCCAGGCAGTGCGTGGCAGGGTGCTTCGGGGTGCTTAGATAAGCTCACCGCAGCGGGCCCAGGCCTGGTCCCACCTGAATACCACAAGCCTCACATGATGCCCTGAGTCACACGCATGGCGTCTTCCGTGGCCCACACAACACGCCTGCCCGGACCAGGTTTCAGCCCGGGCCCAGTTATAGCCTCTCTCCAGCCCTGCGCCTCCAGCCTGCCCCAGCCTCCTCCCTGGCCCCGCCCCAGCCTCCTCCCTGGCCCCACCCCAGCCCACTGGCCAGTTGTGGCACTGCATGGTCCTGCCCCTGACAGCACTCTAGTGCGAGATGGGTGCAGCAAACACTGGAGCTCACTGGGCAGCCGTGGGCGTTGGCTGAGCCTGGGTCCACCCCCAGAATGACAGAGCCCCTAAGGCCTTACCGGCTGGGCCATCCCCCGCAGGTACTGGGCACAGTCCTGGTGTCCATGGTACTCGGCCAGGTCGGCCGCCGTGTACCCGTCTTCATCCCGCAGGGAGGGGTCCACGCGGTGGGAGAGCAGCGTCTGGCAGCACTGCGGGGAGGGAGAGGCGCGGTCACTCCTGCAGCTCAGTGTCCAGGCAGGCACTTCCCTGGCTCAGCAGCACGGGTGGAAACAGGCTGCCTGAACGAGGGGAGGGACTTGCATCTGGGCCATGGGAACCGAAGACCTGCCCGGGGGCCCCCAGGTCTCATCCTACCACTGCCCCGGCTTACAAGGGAACCAAGGCTTAGAAGTGGGCCACAGAGTGTCCTGTTTGGAGGGACGGGCATCCTAGGTGTGCGGGTGCCAGGGCCCTGGCAGGATGGCAGCAGGTGGCACCACCCGAAGCCTCAGGCGTCACCGGCAGCCTGGGTTTCATTTGTGGGATCCCCCTTAGCATGGAGCACCATTTCCTTGGGGGAGGAGGGTGGGCACTGAGCACCTCGGCAGCCCGAGGGACCAGACTCAAGCCTTGCAGGTCAGGGAGGTGCCGCCCTAGGAGGGTCGGCTCCCTCAGCAGCCTCGCCGAGCCCCAGGCCACAGCTACTCGAGGTATGGGCCCTGGGACTCCTAGTGTAGTTCAAGGCGGAAGGACGCCAGGCTGAGGGCCAAGCCTGAGGCCCAGGCAGCTTTGGATGACAGGCAAACCTGAGCATGGCTGTGCCCCAAGGAAGTCTTATTTACTGAGCCGGAGACGATAACTTTAGATGACTCTTGTGCGTCATGAATTATTCATCGGCTTTATTTTTTCTCTAGCGGTTTAAAGATGTGAGAACACAGCCAGGCAGGATGGTGGGTGTCTGTCACCTAAGCACCTGGAAAGAGGAATGAGGGCCTGGAAGTCAAGGTTAGGGTGGGAGCTGGGGCTCAGGTAGTAGCAAGCCCAAGACCCCTGGTTCAAACCTCAGAACTGCCACAAAGAACCCAGGGCTCAAGGCTGGACTTGAAAAATAAAACAAACAAAAACTAGCACAATTAATATCCCCAGCACACAAGCACACACACTCACACACACACACACACACACACACACGCATATGCTCCCCCATATACCAGAAAAGTAAGTAAATAAAAGTATGAGAACTACTTTTCAACCTGTGGGGCTATAGGAGATGGCCCGTTCCCAGCCCAGTGGAGGCCGTGGATTGTGTCGCCCACATGTGACTGGCAGATCAAGTCAAGCCTCCAGCTACACCTATAGGTCTTTTTTTTTTTTTTTTTTTTGGTCCGGTCGCAGGGCCTGAACTCTGGGCCTGGGCGCTGTCCCTCAGCTCTTCAGCTCAAGGCTAGAGCTCTACCACTGAGCTACCTTCCCAGCCCATCTATAGGTCATTTTCAGTTATAATGTTTGTCCTCTAATCAATAAAAATCTGCAATACAAGGAAATAAAAGAGTGAGAAATAGGCTTACTCCACAAAGACAAGAAATGACAGACTGTAAAACCACTGTACCTATGACATTCAAAGAAATTAAATCCAAACTTGAAAATTTAGGTGTGAAATTATAGACTATCAGAGGTGATATTGGCAGAGCACAAAGCCGCAAGCCTGTTCTCCCAGCCACTTTTGGGAGGCTGGGATCGGAAGGATTTTGGTTCCATGCCAGTCCAGGCAGAGCAGTCTGAGTCTCTACCTCCACAAAAGAAGCTGGGCATGAGGGGATGTACTTCTTGTCCTACGATGATGGGAAGTCTAAAATAGGCAGATTGTGGTCCAGGTGTACAACCAGGCAGTAATCGAGCAAGGTTATTTTGAAGCATATTTAAAAACTAACCAGAACAAAAAAGGGCTTGAAGCCGTGGCTCAGCGGTCGAGTGCTTGCTTAGCGAGCAAATGTGGAGCTCTGAGTTAAAAACCCACCACATTCGCCGACAGTTAGTAGGGAAAACTGGTCAGAAGAAGCAACCCAGATACAGCAGAAAGAGCCAGAAAGATGAAGACAAGGAAGCGGGCAATTCCTGCTGTGGTTTGGAGGCAGGCCTGGCGGGAGGAAGTGAGGTCACCGGGCGAGTCCTTAGAGGGGACCCTGGGACCCTGGCGCGGTTCACCTGTGCTTGCCAGGCACCCTGAGGGAGCCGAGCTGACGGACACTGTGGTGAACCGGGCTCAGCACCATGTGTTCCGCCGTGATGTGCTGAGTGGCTAGGCCCAAAGCCACAAGAGCGAACAACCATGGACCACAAGCTCAGAGGAGAATGAAAATAAACCCTTCCTCCCTATAAGCTGTGACAATCTCCCGTGCTTCACCGCAGTGAGGGAGGTGGAGTAGAGCAAGGGCTGACATGCATACACTACGAACGCCAGAAGCGAGGGGAGCAGACGGGGGGGGGGGCAGAGGGGAGCTCAGGGATAATGGCTGAGAATCTTCAAAAAGTAGCCAGCAAACACCAAAGCACCAACCCAAGAATTCCAGGGAACCCATGTTGGATAAACACAGAGCAGCCAGCAGAGGCCAGAGGACAATGAATAACTATGCATGTGTGCATGTGCATGCGTGCGTGTGTGCGTGTGTGTGTGTGTGTGTGTGTCTCCTGGGGCTTGAACTCAGAGTCTCGGCACTGTCCCTGAGCTTTTTCATTCAAAGCTGTTACTCTACTATTTGAGTTACTCTTCCACTTGTGGCTTTTTGGTGTTAGTTGGAGATAAGAGTCTCGCAGACTTTTCTGCTGGTACTGGCTTTGCATTGCGATCCTCAGCTCTGAGACCTCTGAGTAACTAGGATTACAGGTGTCTGGCCCCAATACTATTTTCAAAGCGCTAAAGAGTGATTGGAAATGCCCAGGCTGCATTCTATTCCCAGCAGACGTTCTTCAGCACTGCAGACAGACAAGGGTACGGGGAGGAACGGAGCAGGGTGGTGACTTTCCAGCAGCTGCCTGCAGGAGTCTTGGGAGAGTGAGCCACTTGGAAAGCCTGAGCAAGAAGGAGGGAGGAAGAAGAAAGTGGGACCTTTGTGGCTAAATTAAAGTCTTCTATTCACAAACAATTGAACACGGCCTGGCCCAGGCCTCCATGACCCGCCTCTGCCCTGCCCACCTGCGCTCTCCCCACAGCCTCCATGCTCTTTCTGGAAAAAGCCAAAGCCCCAGGGGGGCCCGTGGGACCACTGTGTCCCCGTGTCCGGGCGTGTCTGAGTGGGATGTCCGTGAGGCCTTCGGTGAGCCTCGCTCTCACCAGACCCCAGTGCAGACAGACTCTCAGGGCATCTCCACTGCACAGGTTTATGAACCAGGAGGTGAGCATGGGGAAGGAAAGTATGTTCCCAGAAGTTATAGACAGGAAGCAGCCCCGCGTAGCCCACACCCCTGGCTTCTGGACCTGTGCCCTCCATGGCGCTCTGCCCCAGGGGCTCAGGACCCCTGAGGATGGCAGTGCTGGGAAGACCCCAGTGCCGTCCTAACAGGCCTGGTGGGTGGCAGCATTGCCCATGCACAGACTTGGGAGTGTAACAGGTCAGATGGCCCACAGGGAACTGCAGAGGGAGGCAGAGAAGCAGGCCAACAGACCTGTGTTCTGTTGGGTTCTGTCTAGCACCACTGAGCTGCCAGCTCTGCGGGCGTGTGAAGCCTTCCCTGTGTAGGGCCTGGGTCGCAGGAAGGCAAGAGAGTAGGCCTGGAGGGCGGAGGTGGCTGTGACCAATGACCTGTGTCTCTCTGCCCCACTGGGAAGCCAGCATTCCTTATCAGTGCCACACAGTCACTTCGGATTACTGGCTCCTCATTAATTGATGAGCTCAACAGCAATCTGCCACAGCTCACTTGTAGTTGAATCATGATTACAAGCAGCTTTTGCAGTGACCCCTCAAATACCGTAGAAGAGTCACTGCAGATTCAACCACCAGAACAGAAAGCGCAAATATCAGCTTAGCATTACCACCGGAGACACTGTCTTCAAAGAGGTGAATGAAACAAAATGCTATTTTCTCTCAATATACACAATGGAACATTACACACACACACACACACACTCACAGCTGTTCCTCCTTGAATTAGAAAGGCAGAGAAATGCTGTTGAATTGGAACCACACATCTAGCAGGGCCCTGATGAGTCATGCTTGTAATCCTAGCTACTCAGGAGGCTAAAAGGTGAGGATTGCAAAAGGCAGCCCACGCAGGTAAGACTGGAGACTCTTACCTCCAATTAACCACCAAAAAGCCAGAAATGGAGCTGTGGCTCAAGTGGTAGAATGCTAGCCCTGAGAAAAAAGCTTAGAGACCACACCCAGGCCCTCAGTTCAAGCCCAGGACTGGCACACACACAATAAAGATCCTAAAAGGTAGATGAAAGCCTGAGGCTACACTTCTATTACCTACACACAAAACCACCAAAAGCATTCCCTCTGCAGTTATGAATGTCTGCCAGGAGATAGGAAAGGAAAGGCAGACAACACAAATTAGAAATGATGGATGGAAGGGCAAAACAAGCGCCTAAATATCAGTAAATATACCAGCTATTGCAATAGAAAGAGGTCAGAACAATGGAATATATTTGATCTGACTGTGTGTCACTAGCAGAGATGTAGGTATTAAACATTTAAAGATTTAAATATAAGGGTTCAAAGGGCAGCAGGTAAAAGGTGGAATAAGATTTAATATGCCACTAAGCAATGGGAAGGATCTGGAGCACTACAGATCTACAGAACCACAGGTCTACAGATCTACAGGTCCACAGGTCTACAGTACTACAGGCCTACAACACTACAGGTCTACAGAACCACAGGTCTACAGTATCACAGGTCTACAG